ATGTAATCACCATACGATTACTGTCCACGTGTTTAGCGTAGCATTTTCATTCACCAGACAATTTTTATGCACAATCTGAGTGGACGGTTTCCACTCACCGGACGGTTAGTGGGATCCATGATAACCGTCAAGCAGTTATTAATCAACTAAAAAAGATGTGTAGATAGTTGAGAGTCATGATGATCAATCAATCATAATGAGAGTCATCTGGAATAGCGTAGTCGCTTTCTCATAGTGACAGTCAGGGTAGCAAAGCAATAGTCGTTCTATCATAGTGACAATCGATCTAGCATATCAGTAGTCACTCTACCATAGTGGCAGTTAGGGAGCATAGTTGTTGTCGCTCTACCATGGTGACTGTCTGTCTATTATAGCGATAGTCGCTCTGCCTCTACCATAGTGGCAATCGATCTAGCACAATGGTAGTCGCTCTACCATAGTGATAGCCAGACTAGCACAGCAGTAGTCGCTTTATCATAGTGGCAATCAGTTAATTGTTTTTGTTTGCTTGATCATTGCAACCACTATATAGGCCACCTAGCATCACTAGCCCCTTTACCTCTTATCGATAGTTATTGTTAAAATGTAGCATCTCCATTCGTCTTTCTAGGTTACTTCTTCATTCTTGTTTTTCTTGAAATTTCTTTAGCTTATAGTTTCATCCCATATAAATGTAAAAAGTAGTATCATTATTTTCCTCTAGTCGTGAAATCTTGAAATTATCTTTTGCATATTGAAAGGGGGCAAGAGTTTAAGAGAGGATAGGAGTTGATCTGCCAATTTAAGAATAGGCTGATCGACGACTACGACCCTTGCTGGTCGATCGTCCAGCCCTCAACCAGTTCCGCTGGTCAATCTACTAGTCGATCAACCAGCAGCGGTTGAACGACCAGCATGTTTGTTGGTTGATGACTGGTTGGTCGATTGTCAACCAATTTTGAAAGTCGACCATAATGGTAGTTGATCGCCTACACACTGACCAAAGTAAAATTCACCCGCTTTCATGATCGACTATATAAATGTTTAACCATTGCATGAGTGGCCAACTTGCTTCGTGGCAATAGACCGTTCTTATGGTCAGCTTGCTTCTTGGAAGCCAACCTCGTTGTGGTCGATTGCATAAGCGATTGAAGGATTGCTTTGCTATATTATAGTTTACTAACCTGAATATTGCGTGATTTTAAGCCTACTAATCGATCTCGTTTTCAATTTTAAAGTGACATACCCTGGTCAACAGCATTGCCGATCGACTGTAGCTGAATGCATTAATTTTTTCGATCGTTGTCATTGTTCGCTACTCAAAAGTTCGTGTAATTTAAAGTTTGGTTATAGGGTTCTAATTCTACATTTTCAATCGGCGATTCTTGAGATTTAGCCAATTTTTGTTATCTTTTTACTCATCGCTAGCCCCTTGGACGATTTTGATGTGTTGAGCGTGTAATTTAGTAATTTTGAGCTTTAACCAATTTTTTGGCTTTCTTTTTTACCATTTAGCCCCTCGAACAATTTTGATGTCTTGAGTGCTTGTCTAACGATTTTGAGCTTTTTGATTTTGAACGCTTACCACTAAGATTGTAGAGCGATTTTGAGCTTATAATCAATTTTGGGGTTTGTTGCTCACCGTTTGACCATTGAGCAATTTCAAGCTAACCATTTTTTTTGTATTGTTGTTCACCGCTTGTCCTGTCATGCAATCTTGAAGTGTAGAGCGATTTTGAGATAACCGATTTTTTGATTTTGTTGCTCACCACTAGACTGTAGAGCAATTTCAAATTAATCAATTTTTTGGTATTGTTACTCACCGCTTATCTCCTTGTGTAACCTTGAAGTGTAGAGTGATTTCAAGCTAACCAATTTTTTGGATTGTTGCTCACAGTTTATCTCATTGTGCAACCTTGAAGTGTAAAGCGATTTCGAACTAACAAATTTTTTTGATATTGTTGCTCACGCTAGATCGTAGAACGATTTTGAGCTAACCAATTTTTTTGGTATTGTTGCTCACCACTTGTTTCGTCGTGTAACCTTGAAGTGTAGAGTGATTTCGAGCTAACCAATTTTTTGGTTTTATTGCTCACAGCTTGTCTCGTCGTGCAACCTTGAAGTGTGGAGCGATTTTGAGCTAATCAATTTTTTGATATTGTTACTCACAACTTGTCTCGTCGTGCAACCTTGTAGTGTAGAACGATTTTGAGCTAACCATTTTTTTGGTTTTGTTGCTCATTGCTAGACCGTAGAACGATTTCGAGCTGACCGTTTTTGGTATTGTTGCTCACCGCTTAGCCCCTCGGACGACTTTAATGTATTGGACCAAGTTTTGAGCCATGATTCGTACAAAAAATCTCAACGATTGTAGGTCGAGTCCATGCATTTAGATAAAGCTTACTCATATCTAGGGACTCAGTAGGCACACTGGGACATCCCTGTAAGGTTGTCCCTTCTTTAGTGCCCTTACCATCCATCGTCATGTAAACTTTTCATCAATAATGCTAATAATTACAAAAGGCTAGAACTAATAGTTTGCATTACACTAGGGAAATCAATAAACTTTCTAGGAACTATATTTACAAGGAAAATAGAAAGATATCCTGAATAACCAATTTTTTTTTTTTATTTAAACTCATCACCATGATTGCCTAGATCCTTAGAGGCTGAAAACCCAACATCATGATTCGTGGAGAGCCCTAAGATTTTATGCTATCAACATAGCACTTTTTCGAAACTTGTTAATCGCCACTTACACTTCCAACCCCTCGACTGGTTGGGAATTTTATTACTTGGTAGCTCCAGCAGCATTTAATAGTGGTCGACCGTAGATTGCATTGTATGGCGTGGAGGGTTTCGACAACAAAAAAGTTTTCCAGGATCACTACACTCCCTCCAAAGCCTTGTAGAGAGGTGGTCACGATTTTCAATTTTTCTAGAGAGATTTTCAAACCCAAAAATGCCTCCCAAGTAAGAACATTCAGTACACTACCGCCATCGACAAACATCCTCTTGACATCAAAATCCGCTATGTCATCGACAACCACCAAGGCATCGTCATGGGGGTTTGCTACACCAATCAAGTCTTCCTCACAAAAAAAGTGATGTTTAGATTAAATCTTGTTTTCTTCTGAATATAGCAGACCTCAACCAAGCGTGCATAACTCTTTCTAGCTGAATTTAAGTCTCCAATTACAGCTATTCCAACAATGATCACATTTATCACTCCTGTTCTGGGTGGGGGACAATCATCAACTTTTTTCTTGTCTCGGTCATTTCTCACGTACTTAGTTAGGAACCCTCATTTCATAAGGTGTTCGATCTCCTCCTTCAAATGTATGGAATTTTCAGTGTCATGTCCATGATCTTTATGGAAATAGCAATACTTGCTTTTATCTCTTTTACTAGCTGACGCGACCATTAGTTTTAGCCAATCGAGCATGTCTCGTATCTTTATCAGCAACTTAGCATGAGGGGTATTTAAAGGAGTGAAGGCCTTAACCTCTTCTAGCATTTGCCTGGTCGATAGGTCTTACTCACACTCTTTGCTCATGTGCTTCTTTTTCAGCTTGTTTCTATCAATGGATTTTCTCTCATCATGTTAATTATCGCTTGTGAGTTTCTGGCTCCCGCCCTTCTCGAAATTTTTTGGTGACCTTCTATGCTTCATCTACATATTTTTCTCCCCTTTTCAACAAGTCATGGATAATTAATCTTGCAAAGGCTCACCTTTCTCCTGGATAACCTTCATCAATCCAATAACAGTGTTCATCTTTCTCTTGCTACTCAAAAAATAGGCTACAAAGCTTCTAGAGAGCTCATCAAATGTTCTAATAAACCAAGGTGCCAGAGTTTGTTACCCAATCTCTTGCCTCTCTCCTTAGTGTTGGTGGAAATGATCGACACATCACTGCGTCTGGAGTTACATATAGTTTCATTAAATCAACAAAATTCCGTAGGTGATTGAGCGGATCCGTGACTCCGTCATACACCTCTACCATCGATTGTTTGAAACCTTTTGGTAGAGGGACTGCCAGATCTCCGAAGAGAAAGGATCTTCCTCGAAGACCATTTGCCCGCGTCTATCATTTCTTCTTAACAATGCGTCAATCAAGTAGAATGGCCCATGCCAGATTTCATCACTTAGAGAGCATTTTCAATTGTAGTGTAAAATAAATCTAAACTGTGATTTATATCTCCGAAGTGGCCGAAAAACTCTCCAATGAAAAGAAATAAAATGAAATAAAAATTGAATTTTTCGATAGAAAATGTAAAAAAAGATGTACATTTACATCTTTTTTTTTCCGGCAAAAGGTTGATTTAGATCTTTCCATTTGAACAAAATTTGAATTTAGATCCATTGGGATGTAAATAAAAATGCAAAATTGATTTTGAAGATATCAATTTACACCCAATTTTATACTACCATTGGAGATGCTCTGGTTACACCAAAAAAACACTATCCCCTTGTGATTCCCTTTTTACTCTTGATTTACATGTTAAAAAGACTTGCTGTTCTCGTCATTTATGATGCTTGCATTTGATTTTCCATAGCAATAGTGTAAAGGCCATTTCGGTACTTTCTACGGATAAAAGAGTCTCTTGGAACTGTTTTAACAAGTCAAGATTCTCACTTCAAGTGAAAATTTGTGGTATCTTCCCAAAAAAAAAAAAAAATGCAAAATGTTTCCTAGAAAACCTTTTTTTGGCAAACTATCCAAATATTTCAAAATTTTTCAAGTTAGTGGCTTCCTGCTTAGGAATTTCTGTTTCATGAGCAAAAATTCATCAGGCAATGTAATATGTGCTTGTTTGGTAGTACTTCACATATAACTACAACATGTTTGGATAATAAGTTGTGAATCCTACAAAGTACGAATATAAGAATTATGTTTGATCTCCTTAAATTATAATTTATGTGTAGTAATTGCTTAGAGACTGGTCGAACTCTATTTTTATCCACATAATTCATAAGAACCACTACTTCTATAACGTTTTAACCACACATTGCTTAGAAGTTAGGCCTCATTGTTTATAAGCTTAGCCAAGAAAGCATCCACTCCAATGCTGCATGCCAAACATCTGTTAATAGAAAAGCAGGTTGTGAACTATGGACTGATTCTGAATATCACAATGGTATTCTCAGGATCTCATGTTCAGTTGCTGCTGGTATGAAACTGTACTGTCATTACCTCCAGAGGATAAACAATGTCGCTGTGCGGGATGTTAAATCCTCGGAGATGCACAATGATAATCCAGACAAACGTAAATAAGCAAGCAAGGCAGCACCTCAAGATGAAAGATATCTGACTTACTAAAAATGAAGTCAGTTTTGAATTCACAATAAGGCATATTACAACAGAAATCATATTGTATCTTTAACTAATCTCACAACTCTACAACAAGAAAATACACTCTCAACAGCTTTTAAAAGAAACTGCAAACGAAAAAAGAAGTATAGCCAAGTTGTATAGTCGTCAACGTCATTACTGTAACACGAAAAAAATGACGAATAATAGAAATGCATGGCTAATGGCACCAAACTTGGATACCAGGTTGGCTGAATTACTGTCAGGCATAAAGCTTCCCTCGGCAGTGCTCGTGATCAAAACAATGACTATCCAATCATTTTCAGAACCAATCCCGACTCCAGTGTACTTGGTGTCATTTAAATAGCCTGAGTACTGTGACTTTGTAAAGTTGGAGACAATGAGACCTGGGACCAGGCCAGGAACACAAGCAGGCNTTTCCAATACAAAATTCCAACAGCAGCGGTTGAACGACCAGCATGTTTGTTGGTTGATTACTGGTTGGTCAATTGTCAACCAATTTCGAAGGTCGCCCATAATGGTAGTTGATCGCCTACACACTGACCAAAGTAAAATTCACCCACTTTCATGATCGACTATATAAATGTTTAACCATTGCATGAGTGGCCAACTTGCTTCGTGGCAATAGATCGTTCTTATGGTCAGCTTGCTTCTTGGAAGCCAACCTCGTTGTGGTCGATTGCATAAGTGATTGAAGGATTGCTTTGCTATATTATAGTTTACTAACCTGAATATTGCGTGATTTTAAGCCTACCACTCGATCTTGTTTTCAATTTTAAAGTGACATACCCTGGTCAATAGCATGGCCGATCGATTGTAGCTGAATGCATTAATTTTTTCAATCGTTGTCATCGTTCGCTACTCAAAAGTTCGTGTAATTTAAAGTTTGGTTATAGGGTTCTAATTCTACATTTTCGATCGGCGATTCTTGAGATTTAGCCAATTTTTGTTTATCTTTTTGCTCATCGCTAGCCCCTTGGACGATTTTGATGTGTTCAGCATGTAATTTAGTAATTTTGAGCTTTAACCAATTTTTTGGCTTTCTTGCTTACCGTTTAGCCCCCTCGAACAATTTTGATGTCTTGAGTGCTTGTCTAACGATTTTCAGCCTGAACCAATTTTTTGATTTTAAACGCTTACCACTAAGATTGTAGAGCAATTTTGAGCTTATAATCAATTTTGGGGTTTGTTGCTCACCGTTTGACCATTGAGCAATTTCAAGCTAACCATTTTTTTTTATTGTTGTTCACCACTTGTCCTGTCGTGCAATCTTGAAGTGTAGAGCGATTTTTAGATAACCAATTTTTTGATTTTGTTGCTCACCACTAAACTGTAGAGCAATTTCAAATTAATCAATTTTTTGGTATTGTTACGCACCGCTTATCTCATCGTGTAACCTTGAAGTGTAGAGTGATTTCTAGCTAACCAATTTTTTGGATTGTTGCTCACAGCTTATCTCATTGTGCAACCTTAAAGTGTAAAGCCATTTCGAGCTAACAATTTTTTTTGATATTGTTGCTCACGTTAGATCGTAGAACGATTTTGAGCTAACCAATTTTTTTGGTATTGTTGCTCACCACTTGTTTCGTCGTGTAACCTTGAAGTGTAGAGTGATTTCGAGCTAACCAATTTTTTGGTTTTGTTGCTCACAGCTTGTCTCGTCGTGCAACCTTGAAGTGCAGAGCGATTTCGAGCTAATCAATTTTTTGGTATTGTTACTCACAACTTGTCTCGTCGTGCAACCTTGAAGTGTAGAACGATTTTGAGCTAACCATTTTTTGGGTTTTGTTGCTCATTGCTAGACCGTGAACGATTTCGAGCTAACCATTTGTGGTATTGTTGCTCACCGCTTTGCCCCTCAGACAACTTTATTAGTATTGGACCAAGTTTTGAGCCATGATTCGTACAAAAAATCTCAACGGTTGTAGGTCAAGTCCATGCATTTAGATAAAGCTTACTCATATCTAGGGACTCAGTAGGCGCACTGGGACATCCCTGTAAGGTTGTCCCTTCTTTAGTGCTCTTACCGTCCATCGTCATGTAAACTTTTCATCAATAATGCTAATAATTACAAAAGGCTAGAACTAATAGTTTGCATTACACTAGGGAAATCAATAAACTTTCTAGGAACTATATTTACAAGGAAAGTAGAAAGATATCCTGAATAACCAATTTTTTTATTATTTAAACTCATCACCACGATTTCCTAGATCCTTAGAGGTTGAAAACCCAACATCATGATTCGTGGAGAGCCCTAAGATTTTATGCTATCAACATAGCACTTTTTCGAAGCTTGTTAATCGCCACTTACATTTCCAACCCCTCGACTGGTTGGGAATTTCATTACTTGGCAGCTCCGACAGCATTTAATAGTGGTCGACCGTAGATTGCATTGTATGGCGTGGAGGGTTTCGACAACAAAAAGTTTTACAGGATCACTACACTCGTTGGGTAAGTTCCTAGCGTCACCGGAAGCTCTATAGTTCCTTCTAGTATCACAATTGCCCCTCCAAAGCCTTGTAGAGAGGTGGTCGCGATTTTCAATTTTTCTGGAGAGATTTTCAAGCCCAAAAATGCCTCCCAAGTAAGAACATTCACTATACTACCGCCATTGACAAGCATCCTCTTGACATCAAAATTCGCTATGTCATCGACAACCACCAAGGCATCGTCTTGGGGGTTCGCTACACCAATCAAGTCTTCCTCACAAAAAAAAGTGATGTTTAGATTAAATCTTGTTTTCTTCTGAATATAGCAGACCTCAACCAAGCGTGCATAACTCTTTCTAGCTGAATTTGAGTCTCCGATTGCAGCTATCTCAACGATGATCACATTTATCACTCTTGTTCTAGGTGGGGGACAATCATCTTTTTTCTTGTCTCGGTCATTTCTCACGTACTTAGTCAGGAACCCTCATTTCAGAAGGTGCTTGATCTCCTCCTTCAGTTGTATGGAATTTTCAGTGTCATGTCCATGGTCTTTATGGAAATAGCAATGCTTGCTTTTATCTCTTTTACTAGCTGACGCGACCATTAGTTTTAGCCAATCGAGCATGTCTCGTATCTTTATCAGCAACTTAGCACGAGGGGTATTTAAAGGAGTGAAGGCCTTAACCTCTTCTAGCATTTGCCTGGTCGATAGGTCTTACACACACTCTTTGCTCGTGTGCTTATTTTTCGGCTTGTTTTTATCAATGGATTTTCTCTCATCATGTAATTATCGCTTGTGAGTTTATGGCTCCCGCCCTTCTCGAAATTTTTTGGTGACCTTCTATGCTTCCTCACATCTATATACTTTTCTCCCCTTTTCAACAAGTCATGGATAATTAATCTTGCAAAGGCTCACCTTTCTCCCGGATAACCTTCATCAATCTAATAACAGTCTTCATCTTCTCTTGCTACTCAAAAAATAGGCTACAAAGCTTCTAGAGAGCTCATCAAATGTTCTAATAAACCAAGGTGCTAGAGTTTGTTACCCAATCTCTTGCCTCTCTCCTTAGTGTTGGTAGAAATGATCGACACATCACTGCGTCTGGGGCTACATATAGTTTCATTAAATCAACAAAATTCCGCAGGGGATTGAGCGGATCCGTGACTCCGTCATACACCTCTACCATCGATTGTTTGAAACCTTTTGGTAGAGGGACTGCCAGATCTCCGAAGAGAAAGGATCTTCCTCGAAGACCATTTGCCTGCGTCTATCATTTCTTCTTAACAATGCGTCAATCAAGTAGAATGGCCCATGCCAAATTTCATCACTTAGAGCATTTTCAATTGTAGTGTAAAATAAATCTAAACTGTGATTTATATCTCCGAAGTGGCCGAAAAACTCTCCAATGAAAAGAAATAAAAATGAAATACAAATTGAATTTTTCGATAGAAAATGTAAAAAAAGATGTATATTTACATCTTTTTTTTTTTTTTTTTGCAAAAGGTTGATTTAGATCTTTCCATTTGAACAAAATTTGAATTTAGATCCATTGGGATGTAAATGAAAATGCAAAATTGATTTTGGAGATATCAATTTACACCCAATTTTAAAATACCATTGGAGATGCTCTTGTTACACCAAAAATACACTATCCCCTTGTGATTCCCTTTTTACTCTTGATTTACAAGTTAAAAAGACTTGCTGTTCTCGTCATTTATGATGCATGCATTTGATTTTCCATAGCAATAGTGGTAAAGGCCATTTCGGTATTTTCTATGGATAAAAGAGTCACTTGGAACTGTTTTAACAAGTCAAGATTCTCACTTCAAGTGAAATTTTGTTGTATCTTCCCAAAAAAAAAAAATTGCAAAATGTTTCCTAGAAAACCTTTTTTTGGCAAACTATCCAAATATTTCAAAATGGTTTCAAAATTTTTTCAAGTTAGTGGCTTCCTGCTTAGGAATTTCTGTTTCATGAGCAAAAATTCATCAGGCAATGTAATATGTGCTTGTTTGGTAGTACTTCACATATAACTAAAACATGTTTGGATAATAAGTTGTGAATCCTACAAAGTACGAATATAAGAATTTTTGATCTCCTTAAATTATAATTTATGTGTAGTAATTGCTTAGAAACTGGTCGAACTCTATTTTTATCCACACAATTCATAAGAACCACTACTTCTATAACTTTTTAACCACACATTGGTTGGAAGTTAGGCCTCATCGTTTATAAGCTTAGCCAAGAAAGCATCCACTCCAATGCTGCATGCCAAACATCTGTTAATAGAAATGTAGGTTGTGAACTGTGGACTGATTCTGAATATCACAATGGTATTCTCAGGATCTCATGTTCAGTTGCTGCTGGTATGAAACTGTACTGTCATTACCTCCAGAGGATAAACAATGTCACTGTGCGGGATGTTAAATCCTCGGAGATGCACGATGATAATCCAGACAAACGTAAATAAGCAAGCAAGGCAGCACCTCAAGATGAAAGATATCCGACTTACTAAAAATGAAGTCAGTTTTGAATTCACAATAAGGCATATTACAACAGAAATCATATTGTATCTTTAACTAATCTCACAACTCTACAACAACAAAATACACTCTCAACAGCCTTTAAAAGAAACTGCAAACGAAAAAAGAAGTATAGCCAAGTTGTATAGTCGTCAACATCATTACTGTAACACAGAAAAAAATGACGAATAATAGAAATGCATGGCTAATGGCACCAAACTTGGATACCAGGTTGGCTGAATTACTGTCAGGCATAAAGCTTCCCTCGGCAGTGCTCGTGGTCAAAACGATGACTATCCAATCATTTTCGGAACCAATCCCGACTCCAGTGTACTTGGTGTCATTTAAATAGCCTGAGTACTGTGACTTTTTAAAGTTGGAGACAATGAGACCTGGGACCAGGCCAGGAACACAAGCAGGCAACATTTGCCCATCCCTTGTGACGGTGACATTTAAATGGCACTTGGATAGAAGTCTGGGGAAGTCCGAAAAATGAGTTTCAGTACCCGGTATGGTGTTGGAACCTGTACTGTTGGTACAAGGTTGATTTTTGAACTGGTCAGCCATCTCATCAGCAAGGCATTCTGCCTTGTCATTCTTGGTTAGCGCTGTCAAGTTTAAGGTTGCTCTGTAGCTGTTGATTTCTTGAAGAAGATTGTCTTCCTCGTCTGCATATGTACGAGATAATGAAGATAAAGTTCTCAGTTCAGAATCTTGAATTGCATTACACAACTCAAGACAGAAATTCAATGAGTTACTATACACTAGACTATGCATCACAGGAGGCGCCAGATCTGTATGAATATGTTGATTTGACAAAGAAAGGATAACAATTTCAGAAACTAAAATTTCGTGTATATTTGAATGGCCCAAGTCCTGTCATAGATTTGCTATTGCAAAATACTGAGCCCTAAACAAGTGAAATGCTAAAGATAATCAGAGTGAACTCTTCCCAATGCCGTAAATCCGTACACAAGGACATTAGCACACAACTATGCGCTGAAATTTTTGTCGCTAAGTCAGAGCAACAAAAAGAATCAGCAGTTGCGACTATTAGTTTGTAAAGGATTTAAAGACATCAAAGATTTTATGGATCAAGGAAACCAAATGGTTAAACAAATGTTTCACTATGTTGTGAAATGTGAAGCAAATTATGTTTAATTTACTGAGGATATCCTAAAAAAATTGTGGTTGACTATTGATCCAGAAGGGGAGATAGAGACACAATTTGATGGTACATTGTGTTTGGGACCCAAAGCACTATTGTGAGAGAGAATGACATAAGGTATCGAAGAACCCATAATAACTCTTCTTCCTGAGCCAAGTTCTCACCAACTGGAAGCACATTGAAGCAAAATTCCCATGACAATAAAGACCATATTTTCTGTCCAATCAAAGTTTCACTTCACACATAAATCAAAGCCAACAACTATCTGTCTACTTCTTAATGACACAAAGTTGTTAGTGATTTTTTTAAAGTAAAAGTAGAACATAATAATCTCGTAAAGTAATAAACTATATATATAAAAAAAGAATTATAGTTATACTAATTCTTGCCTATGTTGCTCGAACTTGAGTGCGGGTGTCGGATATGGGTACATGTCCACGAGTCGGATCCTTCTGATTTTAAAAATTAAGATATGGGGATACGATTAAAAATGATCTGAATTTTGGATAAGGGTATGGGGACACGTCTCACAATTTATTATTATTATTATTATTATTATTATTATTATTATTATTATTATTATTTTCTAAAAAATTATTCAATTAAAGCAAACAACTACAATATTAAAGCAAAACAACAAATTACTGCAATACAAATGTTTCATTTAATGATAAAATCCAAATTCAAGCAAAACACAATTCAAAATAAAGTTAAACATCCAAAATGTCATAATATAAAAAGCAAGAAGTTTTCCACTTGAAATCAAACTAAAAAAGCATTCCCAATCAAGCTTTACTCCTCTTCTTCATCAAACGTAATTTCCTCCAATTCTGGCTCATCGAGGGATAGTTCCGCCATCTCAACATCGTGCATAGGCGACAAGTTGATCGAGTTATATGTAGATGGAGATTTGACTACTCACCAATCTTTTTACTTTACTTTTAGAAATTAAATGAGTTGGGATAGATATGATTTAGTATTTTTATGGTTAAGGATGTTTAACGAGAAGTTGTGTGATCGCACTCTAAAAAACATAAGATCGACCATAGGCGACAAGTTGATCGAGTTGTACGTAGACGGAAATTTGACTATTCACCAATCTTTTACTTTACTTTTAAAGATTAGAATGAGTTGGGGTCGATATGATCTAGGACATATATGATCAACGACTTTTAGCGTGAAGTTGTGTGATATACTTCGACCGTAATATATATATCGTGAATGCCTTTTAAGCTTTCGAACATATTTAAATCACTCAAAATGGATAAGTGTAACTTGAACTATTGAATCAAACAAATTTAGAATTAAATATTAAATTAATCTTATCTTAAATAAAACAATAACTCACTCCACTTATAATAAATTATAAAACTTGGGCAGAGACAATTCCCAATTTTTGGCAGTATAAATTGTTGACTTTTGAAACCACCTAATTTCCTCTATCATTAACTTATTCATGGGGCTTCACAAAAGCCTATTTAACACCCACCCAAAAGGACTAAACCTATCGTTTTCTCAAATGAGGAACCTATCGTCTTCTGTATCTCCTATCTTCCCCTTTTTGCAAAATTCACCATGCTCTTGTCCTTCATAAATTTCTGCAAAAGACTACCACAAGACTTGAAATAAATGGGTTTGTTGCCGTCACAAACGCAAGCCAGAAGCAATACTCCATGCCGTCCACTGTCTTCTCCTTTTGCTGCCGTGTCCGAGTGCAAGACCAAGTATCTCACCCATATCCCGTGTCAGTATCAGTGTCATATCGCGTCAACACGGATACTTCTCCATTTTTGAAGAGTCTGAACAACATAGATTCTTGCAACCATTTACGAAAGAATTGATGTTAGCAGGAACTAAGTAGCACTACAAGATATTGTGGGTTGATGTCTTATGCTATGTTTGAGATCCATTTTATGTAAATAATGAGTTTTGTAAGTGATTTTTTGAAAAATGTGCACTTGAAAATTTTTGGAGAAAAATGAGATTTTAGAAAATGGGGCTCAAACGGGGGCTTAGTTTCTTAATATTAGGTTAGAGGATATTAGTCTCCCAAGATCATATGGTAGGAGGGAAAGGATCCCTGTTGCAGGGATCTCTAATATATGAAGAAAAGGATCCTAGGGCATTAAGAGACTCCAGTCATCTTGGTTCAGGACATTATGATCAGAAGCTGGTTTCTTTTCTTTTCCATAATTAATTGAAGCCATAGGGCCTTATCCATTCATTCAAACTCTCATTTGTTCCGTTCCAAGAATTCGAACAAAGTTTTGTACCGATCTGATAAAACGAAATATACACCATTCTA